GTTAGTCTTTTCAGGCTGATGTAACAGAATACCGCTGACTAAGTAGCTTAAATGACAGAAATTTATTTTCTCACAGTTCTGAAGTTTGGAAGTCTAAGATCAAGGTGCCAGCAGGGTTGCTTTCTTGTGAGGCTTCTCTTCCTGGCCTGCATATGGCCTCTTTTTCACTATGTCCTTACATGGCATTTTCTCTGTGCACACTTAGAGAGAGACAGAGAGGAGGAGGGAGGGAGAGGGAGCTCTGGTGTCTCTTCCTCTTCTTTTAAGAACACCAGTCCTAGTGGATTAGAGTCCCACCCTTATGACATCATTTAACAGTAATCACCTCCTAGAAGGCCCTATCTCCAAAAACAGTCACATTAGGGGTTAAGACATCAACATGTGAATTTGGGAGGACACATAATTCAGTCTATATAGGAGTAGGTATAGATAGAAGCTCCTCTCTAGGCCAAGGGCTACAATAATTCTCAATGCCAGGGGAATAGTAGGTTCCCAATAAATTCTGGCAGAAGGAATAGAACAGATATAGAGAAAGAGTAAAACCCACAAATATGTACTAAGGAGGTGAAACATTCAGTTAATTGGTAAATTTATGAAATCTAAGTCATGCATATTTAAAAAGTATTTAACTTTAAATTAGATAATCGCAATTATACTAAAATTATATATGTGAAGTGAAAAGTGCTGTAAACTTGAGAGTTCTTTGTGGTCAAAATCTCAATTGGAGAAAGCAAAATGACAGAGAGGCTAAAAATTGGTCAATATAGAATCAGTTGTAAAAATGATTTCCAGATCACAGGAAACTGATCCCTTTATTTGGACTCAATTTGGAATACCTGTTCAAGTCTACAAGAACTAAAGACAGCCACCCACGGGTCACTTGAATGGCACTGGTGGCTGAATGGCATTTAGTAGAGAGCTGGTTCATAAGACTGAGCTAGCCCCATAGAGGGTGGCAAAGTCTCCCAGCCAATTCCAGCAATACTGACACGTGAGATCCTTAGATAACCTCCAATCAAGAAAGCAATAATCCCCTTGATCAGAAAACGTCCATTTTTGCAGAGTTGAGGGGTGATTCTCTGAACTCATCTCAATTTCCTTATAAACGTGTGCTCTACTGAAGCACTTTCCATTATGTGCTTAACCCAAGCTCTCCTTTCTGTGGGTCACTGAGAGCTTGGGTGATCGTGTGCTTTCTGCAGTTTCTCTGCTTCTAGGATATTCATAGTAAACTTTATTGCTACTGGTATATAGTCATGCATTTTGCATGTCAAGCATGGACAAACTAGACTGTATCCAGACTAGGAAGGAGTGTGAACAGGTTAATAAAAGAAAAAGGAAAAACATATGGAATATCTAACCTGACTTAGAGGAGGCAAAATAGGGAGATGAAACTGTAAATCTGAAAGGGCTGGTATTTGGAAGAAAAACCTGCTTCATAAGGCAGGACTGGAAACAAGAGTTGGAAATGAAGAAGAGGCAGTTCTCAGCTCAATTAAGGAGGATCTTCCCAATGTTAGAGTTGTTCATTAATTTAATGATCTGCTTCATAAAGTGAAGAGTTCCTGATGTGGGATAGTCTCAAGCACCGGCTAAGATGGCAATTTGTTAGGGAAATCTAGAAGAGACTCATAGTGGATTGGAGTTTAAGCTAATAGACTTCAAGATTCCTTTCTGTTTATTCCTAGTACTCACAGTGATTCAAAGAAGGCTAACATGTTGCTTGAATATGGCCTCAGGGAATGAATTAATCTAAATATTTATTGAGTACTGCATTCTAAGAGATACAAAGAATGTATGGTAGACTGTAAAGGATTATTTACATGCCTTTGATTAGTAGGTTATATATAAAGGAATATTTGCAACCAACTTGAAACTTGAAAATAGTGATTTATCCTTACATATTATAAAATTCACATGTTCAAAATGATTTACAGGAGATTTCCATTTTTCTGAAGAAATATATAGTAAGCAAAGACAAAAATCAGTTCAGCCCTTCTCTAAAACTTCTCAAATTCGGACTAATTAGACATTGTTCTAATATATTTTAGCTATCCCTTTTAGCTGAGAATCTTTAAAAGCAGGATCATATCTCTAATTCTTTTTGTATTTTTAGCACCTAAAAAAAATAAAAGTAAAATTCCAGGCTTTTAATCAATGCTCAATAAATGTGATTTGAATTGAACTGAATTGATACATAACCTATGTTGTCTCTTTTACAGATATAATTTCCTATTTCAAAGAAATTTACTCACTAAGTTACTAGCAAAAATAGCAAAATGGAATCAGACATACAAGCACTGCACACTTTCACAGCAAGAGTATTTTGTATCACACAACTGGTAAAATTTAGGCTGACCTATGCCAACACCATTAATTCTTCAAGTACTAAAAATAGCTTCAGGCTACAGACAATAATTTACTCTGAAAAACAATGAAGGATATTTTCAAAAAATTATAAGAAAAGGAGCGATTTTAGCTCAAAAACAAGCAAATAGCCATTCTAAGGAATTACAGAACAAATATCTGAAAGCAGAAGAGTGCCTGTGTGCTTATTCTCTGTTAATTTATATTTGGCTGTATCGTGTTACTTACAAGGTGTGTGGGGGCACTAAAACCTGCTAATTATTAGTAGTAGTGTTTCTCTTTTGTTCTCATGAACTGTCAAATAATTTAGCTGTCCTTCCTGCAGAACTGTGGCTGAATGCAGGAAGTGTTTCCATAGTATTCAGTTACCATCACAATGGAATTTTAAGCTTGGACATTTGCTGCATCCTCAACACTTTCAGGACAACTTATTTGGCTGGAGCATCAAGGTAGTTTTTTTTTTTTTAAGATCTCTATTTTTTTGCTTGTTTTTTGCAGAGGAAGATTCTCCCTACACATCTGTTGTCTATCTATCTTCCTCCTTTTTTCTTTGTTTTTATCCCCCAAAGCCCCAGTACATAGTTGTGCATAGTTGTAAGTTCTTCTAGTTCTTCTACATGAGCCACTGCCACAGCATGGCTGCTGACAGATGAGTGGTATGGTTCCACGCCCGGGAACCGAACCCAGGCAGCCAAAGCAGAGCGTGCCGAACTTTAACCACTGGGCCATCAGGGCTGGCTCTCGAGGTACATTTTTAGCTAAAGAAAATATCACAGTGATCATGAATATTCTCCTTTCTTTCCATTGCTTTGTTTTTTTTTAAGTTAAAAATTAAAAACGAAAATAGCTGACATTATGATTGAAGCAAAAAGCTATATTCAAGGAAAAAAAATAAAGCTCTCATGTGAAATGTAGCTTAAAATAAATACTTGATCATTACTCAATATTCTAAACGAACTCCTGACAAGATGTGGGACTTTACTTAATGTCATTACAAAACTGCAAGGATAACTTCTTATTCTAGAAACGAAGATAAAGGTACAATGAGTAACTAAGTTCATTTTTGTTTTCTTAAGAAACACCTGTTTCTTACACAAATGGGGAAGATTGTTTCTGGCATCCTTTCATTTCCATGTGCTCTTTCAATTTTTAGGACTAAGCACATCTCTAGTAGCCAGGCAACTCTATGCTGACTCGGATGGCCTGTACATATTTATGCACAGGACCTTAAGGAAATCAAAACAGGTGGATTCCACATTGGTGAGTATGTTAGTTTGCTAGGGCTATCATAACAAGCTACCACAGACTGGGTGGCCTAAACAGCAGAAACTTATTTTCTCACAGTTCTGGAGATGAGAAGTCTGAGATCAAGGTATCGGCAAGTCTGGTTTCTCCTGAGGCCTCTATCCTTGGTTTGTGGATGCCACATTCTCACTGTGTCCTCACATGGTCTTCTGTGCTCCCGCATCCCTGGTGTCTCTTTGTACATCCAAATTTCCCCTTCTTATAAAGACAATAGTCAGCAGTTTGGATTAGGGTGCACCTTAGGGCCACAATTTAATTTGATCATCTCTTTAAAGGCTCTGTCTCCAATGTGGTCATCTTCTGAGGAACTGGGGCTTAGGGTTTCAACATGTGAATTTGGGGGGGGGAGCACAATTCAACTTGTAACAATAAGCTATCATATTTATACAGAAGAAATCTGGTTAATCATTATGTTTATTATCTTTATATAAGCATAAAATCATATTCTTTTATTCGTGAACCAGAGTGAGCCTCCAGGATTATGAAGACCAAAGTAAAAGAGCTAGAATAACAATTTGAGCTGTGATAACACTGAGGTCCAGGTAGTTATTTCTTATGAAGCATCATCACTGAAATTTATAACTGCTATATGCTCATTGTCTTTCTTGCCTTTTTTCAATTTCACTATATTTTTCTATAATCACGATATTTTAAAGAACTTCTAAATGTTTTCAAGGCCTAATTTCACCCTAGAATTTATTTTCATTGCTCATTGGGGTTAATTCTATTTTTCTTAGAGTCTAAACTTCTTCCTTCTTGAATTCTTTTTATGTTTAGCTGACTATCTTCTCAGGTAATTTTTTCACAAAGTTATGAGAGAGATTCACTGAGTTTTCCCATAATCAAAAATGTCTTCTTTTCATCATTGTACTGTATTGCTATGTTGGATGATTATATAATTCTATATTTCAAATAATGTTCTGGTAAATATTAAAATAATGCTTATCTCATGTTTTAACATTTTTTTTTTTGATAAATGGTTGAAGGTTATTCTGACAATCATTTAATTTAATGTAACTAGATTCACAATTCCAGGGGGCTTCTGTAATCTTCTCTTTATCCTAGATGTCATGGATTATCATGAGGATGTGTTTGGATTTGTATGTTCTTTTATTCATTCATTGAGCTTGGTTCTGGGTATACTTTTTCACTCCCCAACAATTTTCCTTTATCCCCAGTTTTTTCTTTTTTTAATAATATGCTTTTCTCTAAATTTTTTTTGTGTGTGAGGAAGATTAGCCCTGAGCTAACACCTGTTGCCAATCCTCTTCTTTTTTGCTGAGGAAGATTGGCCCTGAGCTAATATCTGTGCCCATCTTCCTCTACTTTATGTAGGATGCCTGTCACTGCATGTCTTGATGAGCATTGCGTAGGTCTGCACTCAGGTTTCCGAACCTGTGAACCCTGGGTGGCAAGAAGTGGAGTGTACGAACTTGACCACTGTGCCTCCAGGCCGGCCCCTCTCTCAATTTTTAAAAGGTTTTCTACTACTAAAAAGTCTATGAAATTTTTAATTTTTTTGTTTGATTTTGACTCTGCTGGATCATTCTGCAACATCTATTTAGTTTTTTCTCAGATTTTTGTTTCTTTTTGTTCCCCACTCTCTCTATTCTGGAATGTTTTATTTACCCTTTGTTAAATTTGTACAGAATACTCTCTTTCACTAATTGTCATTCAGTTTCTATTTCTTTTTACTATGATTTTTTTCTTAGCCCCAATTATATTATGAAAGAAATATAGAATCTCTTTGAAAATAATCCTTGATTTTCTACCTTTTTGTGACTTCTGGATAATTTTTTCTTCTTTGTATTGTTTGTCCTATTTGTGTTCTTTGATATTTTGCTTTGTGTTATTTTATGATCATATCTATGTACAAGATACGTTGATTAAGATAGGCTGTTATTGCAAATATTTTCTGACTTTACCAGTGTTTAATTTCAGGTCAGAATGTATCAAGGAGACTTCACATTACGATGTGTAAGAAGAATGTAAGTAAGATGGCCAACCACTTCTTTCTCTGCTGAAATAATAGCAGTTTCACTCAGGGGATATAAGTCATACTTTAGGGGCCCCAGAATTGGACAAGCCAAATATACATTTTTTTTTTAATCTTGGAGCAAATCCTCTACGTACATAGAAGTATGGGGAAATTGGGTAGAGCTGGCCAACCCATTCAACTGCTGGGAGATTTAATCATCTAATCTATGATCCTGATTAGTAACGCTCCTCACACTTGCCCTTGGTTTGTGCTGAGTAGGTCACTATGAAGAAGGGAGCGATCAAGGGAGTATATAACATGAAAAAAATGCTTCAATATGAAAAATGAACAGCTCCCATATCGACTTCAACATCTTCTTCTGTAAGCTCTGAGCTGCTGTATCTGTCATTATGATTACGTATTCCATTCATCATTCAGTAATCCATCTAAATCTTTGTCTGCTGATATTCAACCCCTTTCCTGCAGTCAGTGACTTCTGCAGATTTTTGCTATTTGGAAAAGGAGGAAAAAAAATGTGTATGCTCAGTCTGCCATTTTTCCTTAGAGTAATATTCACTACTTAACCCTTAGTCATCTGGATTTCACCCATAACACTCTAAAAGACATTACTTTACATTTTATACTGAATCTGAAGGTCTCTTTCTACTTGATTTCTCACCAGAGTGGTAACTAAGAAATGACTTTGCCTTTTTCAAAAATAGTTACTCCCACAATCTTCACCACTCTGGAACATCTTCAAATAGAATAATCTGATTAACTTTTGCCTACTATCTCGTTTACCATAAATTGCATTGCCTTGAAGGTTGAACTTGGTCAGTGCTGTACCCTCTTTAATTGAAGAAGGATCTCTCAGTGTAGGGAGTCAGGTATCTGTGTTCCTTTGCTGAAACCTGCAAACTCATGCCTGTTCTCATTCTTCTGCTACTTCTCTAAAGTGGAAGACCAACACACAGTAAGACACATGGAGATTTAGTGGAAAAACTGTATACTGAGTTGTGACCACCTCTGACCCCAACTACAATACACACAGGACAGTTTGACAATTTAACACTTGACTCTGAAGAAAAATTTAGATTGTTTACCTCAAAGAAAATTGAAATAATTTTCTGTGGGAGACTAGAAGAACTAACGTGGGCTTACCTATTCAGAACATGTCTGTCGTTCTGTGCCTAGGCACAGTGGTCAGAATCTTAACACTCTCATCCTAAAGGGACGTCTGAAAGTTGACAAAATCTGACAACATATATGGAACATAGTCATCACTCTTCTCTCTTCATTCTTAAAAATAAACAGATTCATAAGAATCACCTGATATATGAGAAATTCTGAGTCAGATTCTAAGTCAAATTCTGAGTCAGAAATTCTGGAGTAAGTCTGGCCTTTTAACAGAGGCAGTGGCCCTGATGATCTCTGAATGGCCTTGGAGTCATTCTTCCGTTTTCTTGAAGAAGAGCTCAAGTTGTTCTGTCCTGCAGAATCTAAGAAGTCTAGCAGACCTCTTTTGTTCCATAGCATCTCAGCTTCCTTCAGTTCAAACTGGCAGTGTTCCTGCTGATGTGGCGATTAAGTCTATGGTTCACACTGTACTAATCTCCCTATCAAATGGTTAATAGGCCATACCGTAAAGTGTTCTCTTCAGAACACACTTTCTCATTTTTTGCAATAGGATAGGCTGAGAATTTTTCAAATTTTTAAGTTCTGATTTCTTTTTACTTAATAAGCCTTCTTCAATTCATTTCTCTCTTCTAGCCTTTTACTATAAGCAGTTAGGAGGAACCAAGCCAATCCTCCAAAACTACTTAGAAATCTCTCAAATATCCAATTTCATTTGCTTGCAAGTTTTATCTTCCACAAAACACTAGAACACAATCTTGCCACTTTACGACAAGGGTTGCCTTTCATCCATTGCCCAATAACATGTTTCTCATTTCCATCTGAGATGTCATCAGAATCACCCTTAGAGTCCCTATTTCTAGCAACATTATGTATATGATTATTTATATATTCTCTATAAAGATGGAATCTTTTTCTATAGGTTTCCTCTTTTCTTTCTGAGCTCTCACCAGAATCACCCTTAACAGTTCCTTCATGGCAATATCAATTTTTTCTAGCACACACCTTCAAACTCTTTCAGCATCTACTCATTACACAGTTCCAAAGCCACTTTCACATTTTTAGTTATTTCTTACGGCAGCACCCCACTTCTCAGTACCAATTTCTGTATTTGTCAGTTCTGACTGCAATTTTGAAATACCATAGACTGGGTGGCTTAAATAACAAACATTGATTTCTTACAGTTCTGGAGGCTGGAAAGTCAAATTTCAAAGTAGATTTCTGGTTTGCATATGGCTGTCTTCTGTTATCCTTAGAGAGGGCGTGTAGAGAGAGAGAGAGTGAGCCCTGATCTCTTCCTCTTAAAAGGACACTAATCCCATCATAGAAGCCCCACTTCATGACCTCATCTAAACCTAATTACCTCCCAAAGGCCCCACCTCCAAGTACCATCAAACTGGGGATTAGGGATTCAACATATGAATTTGGGGGGGATACAATCATTCAGTCTACAGTAGTATATTTATATCTAAATCTATAAATTAAAGTATAAAGAAACACAGAGGGATGATATTCACAAATTCAGTGATTAAATTATGACTTATGCTGTCATATAAATACCTCTTTATATCTAGATCCATACCCACAGCCTTTGGTTCAACTGGGCTTTTTTAATAGGATGCTTCACTCTATCCTTGAGTTTTAGCAAGCTAAAACAAAATCTATATCTTCCTTTCCTAAAGAGTCCTCAATTATGAATTTTTTATAATTATCTTGGACTCTTCCTGTTGGTTCTGATCTTTAAAACTGAGTTATTTTTGCTAGGGCCTTAACTCCAGTGTGCCATAACCTATTAGTCCCCTGTTGGGGACTTTCCCCTTCCTGTTTGACCTTGTCCATTATCCCATTCATTTCTTTCTCCCTGGGCTCCTAGTTGGGATGTTGCTCTGATCCTAGCAGTCTGGGATGAAGAATTGTCAGCCTTTTCTGTGACAAACAGACTTAAGAGACATGTTCTGTCTTTCACCAAAATTAAAGCAGTTACCCTAAATCACTCTTAATTAAACTCTATGTCTTTCATCTCTCCCACATTCAGCAAACTTTCAACATTCCTCAGGTAAATTTATATATATACACATATATATATATACATATAAATGAACTGGTTAGGATTATTTCCATGATGAAACAGTTTGTAGAGTCATCACTGCCTGGTTAAAGTCCATGAAAAGCATTTTGGAATCCATTCCCAATCAAGCTGGCCAGGGTCTTTGTTTTAGTCCATGTTCCTGCAATCTGGCACTTATTTCTTCCTCTACTTAATTCTATCTAACTCTCAAAATCTGACTTAAACATTATTTTCTGGGACCTTACCCAGAATATAAAATTAATCTCTTTCCCCAGCAAAACCTTATATATAGCCTACTATGGTATAGAACAGATTATTATGATAACTTGTTTTCCTAGCTAGAATGTACATTTCTGGAATGAAAGGAGTTCATACCAAGTTAGCTGGCACACAATATCTTGTAAAATGCCTGAAAATACTGTGGGCTTTCAGTAAATATTTACTGAGACACTGAAGAAATTCTTGTGATGGCAGCAAGAAGACAAAATAACATAATCTCCTCTCCTGTTCTATATTTGTTGTATAAATTTTGTGGCACAACATTGTGGAAATCTCCCCAATAGACTTGCTACTCATTGTCTGTAGGAACTGTCTTATTATTTGTGTATGCGATTGTGAGTGGCATATAGAAAATGAATAAGATGGAGATAACAGAAAATCCAGTCTGAAAATTGAAAAAACTTTTGGAAATAAGCTATACATAGAAAACCCTTTATATAGCTATATATAGAAAACTTTCTGACAAATATCTCATGGTGTTATTTACTAGGCAATTTTATTTTTCCATTTGTGTTTTAATATGATCCAAGAATATGGTAGCAATTTTTTCATTAATAACCAGAAAGAAATCCTTAGCCTATCCATGCTATTTGATGGCAACGGAATATCACTAAACTCTGTCGGATATTTGTTGAAATACTTACACAATGAAATATAAAGGGATGGGACAAATAGTGAGTACCCCATACTCAGTGAATGAGTAGCATATAATCAGGTACAATTTAAATAAATTAAAAACCAGTAGGTACTGAGCACTCACCATGAACAAAGCACTCTGTCTGCCCTTATTGTACATCACAAGATCAAGAAAAGATCCACTTGATTCACCTGCTTTAATTTCACCGCACTCCCAGGGATTCTCTTCACTTCATTCAATGAAGCTCCGCAGACCATCTTTAATGAGAAAAACAAATAAACATTTTCTTCTGCTCAGTTATTCATTCTTCATGCTGGTCTAACACAAAAAACAAACAAATACGGGAAAGTAAGTTAGATTGTGTGTGTGTGTGTGTGTGTGTGTGTGTGCGTGTGTGTGTGCATGTCTTAGATACATCCTTACTCTTTCCCTGTGTCAGAGCATTTAAATTTAACTCACTTTTTAAATTTTTAAAAAGATAAATAGTATCCTGTTTGATATACTTCAGCTCCCACCTTAATCAAATTCTGAGATTTCTTATTCAATTTGTCTAAAGTACTATCTTGGCATAAAATCTCTTCACTCATTCATGTGAACAACTGTAGTCTGGATAAGGCAATAATAATGGAGAAAGATGAAGAAAAAAATAACCAATTTCTTAAATACATATATTAAATTTAATGATAAAAGCTGTAAACTCATAGGAAGTGGGAAAGCATTAGGAGTAGACAATATTAGAATTAATCCAGAGATAGAAACAAAAACAGACATCTCCTTTCCTCCTCCTCCATCCTCCCAATTTAGCAATCATGAGCCTGTGACACAAGGAAGAAAGAGAATAAAAACTAAAAATTTAGAGCTTTTAGAGCTAAATGAACTGTTTGTTAGTTTTGTTTCTGTTTTTGTTTTAACCAATGGGAATTTTGATGATGGTAAACGGTATATCTAATTTTATTTTTATTTAAAATTTTTTATGCCAGACTCCCCACTTCCCTCTTCCAATCCTGAGTATGTGTTCAGGAATGAGAAAAAAAAAATAACCTTAGAGTCATGTTTTGCCTCCAGAGAAACAGAAGAGCCAACTGTTAGAAGGTGGTCAAGGGATTCGCACTGTCTTTTACTCAAAGATGCAAAATAGGAATTTTATGCCTCCTTTTAGGTTAACCGTTCTGATTTCAGGGTTTTAATAAATCAGCTTAATTGTAATAAAGCTTCTTAAAATATTTCTCCTTTACACTATTGCAATATAATTCTGTATCTGATTTCAATTTTTATAGTGATATGTACTTTTATTAAAACCATATTTTAGTGAAACTAGCTTTATATAAACACAAAATCTAATACATGGAGGCATTAGAAGTTCAGTGCTTAATGATGCAGTATCAAGGCATATTAATGTGAGAAAGTTTGGTCAAGTTACACAAGACACACTTAACCTCTAAATGGCTCATTAGCCCACATACTGGAGTTCTGAATTGCAATGGAGAAATTATAATATACTGCTATGTAATGTCTTTCTTATCAATTATCTCAGTATGGCTTGTGTTTTAGTTAAGGACATCAACTACACCCACAGCAGGCAGCATTCCCTGGGGGAAATAATGTTGATCAGACCTAATTGTCTATAGTTACAGGAAATACCAGAATCCAGAAAACACACAGCTAAGAGCGTAGTTAATAGTTATTGACATATATCCCTTTAAGTTTAGAGTGATTAATTACATAGTCTGAAGACTGTAGAAGTTAGTGCCATCTTGATTCAACTATGGCTATTTTGATCCATCTTTGCCCTCATTAGACATTAAAGCAAAACAAAACAAAAAACAGTTTATAGTGTTTGGAAATTGAGAACATAGAGTGAATCCCTGTTCCTCTATTTTCTAGCTCTTTAACTTTAAGCAAATTATAAATCATGCATCACTTAACAACAGGGATATGTTCTGAGAAATGCATCGTTAGGCGATTTCATCGTTGTGCAAACATCATAGAGTGTACTTACACAAACCTAGATGGCATAGCCTATTACACACACCTAGGCTATATGGTAATAATCTTATGGGACCACTGGCATATATGCAGTTGGTTGTTGACGGAAGTGGTATGTGGTACATGACTGTGTTAAGCTTTTCATAAATTCAGTTTCCACAACTATTATATATATCACCGTCATCCCTAATAGGTTGGTATAGCACACAATATTTGTGCCCTGTACTATGTGCCTTTGATCAATTACGGATTTCAGCTCCAACTGTAGTAGAGTTCCCAAGCTTTCTGCTGGTGTCTCAACTCAGAGGCCTGGTGCGACTGTCATCTTTCCTGCCTCTGTGCTTTATCTTTTGTAAGAAAGCTTGCTTAGGTGCACTGCCTTCAGGGAAGACCCAAGGAGTGGGGATGGAGTGGGCATAGAGGTAGAGGTTAGCCCCTGGTGCAACTCCACCTCCCCTACTTTGGAGGTTCAATTCTGTGGCATAGTCTACATGATTCCTCGCAGGGCTCACAGAGGGACTGAGCCCCAGTTGCCCACAGCTCTGTAACACATCTGCAATTATCTTGCCTCCTTTGTGTCATCATCTCTCGCTTCTACTCCATTTCCAATTCCTTACTCTTGCTTTTTATCAAGTAATCTACTGGTATCGAACTACTTGTCCTAGGTTCCGGTAGACTTGTATTAGAAGGTTGTTTCTTATCCTCATGGTTGTCATCATCTGCATTGTGATGATCATCATTATCATCATAATCATCATTGTCATCATGATTATTTAGTGTTTATTTCCATGTTTCCCACATTATTATAGGAAAATATTAATTCCTTAGATTAGGTAGATAGTTCAGTGACTGATATATTTATTTGACCCATTGGAATGCAAAATAAGAAAATAAGACAATTGTAAGAGACAAATAGCTCATTGTGGTTGCTTATGGTGCCATTTAGTGGAATAACATTAAACAGAATTTACATAATGTAGATTTTATAGTGACTTGGTGAATTATTATGATATTCTTTTCCTTTCCTTAATTTAATCTTACTGTAATATGAATCATATCAAATGGTTTCTATCAAAAGTACTTTTTAAAGTACTGAAATAGGCAAAGTAATTTTCAAA